ATCAATCAGATGATCAATGGATTATCACTAGCATCGGTTTACACCAAATAACAACCTGTCTGCTCTAATCCTTACACCAATTCGCTATACTTAGCTACCTAGTGCTAGTATGCATTCTTAAAAAGCCAATATGCATCCACTGTTGTTCTCACTATTTATTTTATATTACAATTATGAAACAATTCTTTATTGTAATGTACCTTGGCATTCTGATGCACATGTCTTCAGCAGCTTTCAATAAAGTAATATTGAGCAATAAGGTAAAAATAAATATAAAGCATCCAAGAATGCTTTTTAGTATTTTAATAAAAAAACACACTTTAAAATGGAGGGTGATGTTCAGTATGTAATAATTAAGTCATGGATGAATACCTCTAAATATATAGTTTGCTTAATACAGCTGTAAATCAAGCCAAGTATAAGTTATACAGATGATTCTATTCAGAGTAATCTTTTTATATATAATTTCCATACACCCCTGTCAATAAAAGAGGAGTGACTCCAGAATAAATGATTCATTAGGCACTTATAATTCTTTTCTCATGTAATTTATCTATATAACTTTAAATTACTAGAGAATCTCAAGGATCTTTCTCACTAAAGAATTTTGAAATGATCCATATTTTATTAAGTTTCAAGGACAACCCCTCACACACACCCACACACTTGAAATTAAGTAACCATTAAAATTGCTATCATAATTCATATATCCATAAGGGGAAAAACCTAACCCTAAATTAGAAAGTTACATTTAGCAAACCATTCACCATTTTTTACCTGTTACACAACAACTGGTGCTTATAAAGAGTTGAACCTGTCTATTTTAATTACCTGAAACAGTAAAACACCCCTTTTTACTTTTCATTGTTTATTCTGCCTTTTTTAAATTAAGTGCCCTCCTTATAGCTGTCTTGTGTATATTTTTAAAAGGCATGAATGTTCTTCAAATTGTCATAGTAATTTTCTACATCATTCCCAAAATAAAAACTTGATTTAGCCAAATATTAAATTATTGAAATTACAAATCTGTTCATCTATAGCACATTTTACTCATTTGTGTAATTTTAAAATTCTCTTTCATTTGATTGACTTTTAATCTTCCTTAACTAGTGACTAACTGAAAATAAATGGTGCATTCCTAATACAGTAAGTATGAAAAATAGGAATTACTTAGGGACTGCGGGGGAATACATTAAAATCAGTTTTCTAGTTAACATATTCTCATTTTGTTTGTGTACAAAACCCACTACACTGAGAAGACATCTCAAATTCACGGCCTTACAAAAACATTGTCCTGATTTCATGTTTTGACAGAAGAAATTGGCCCAATTTCCTATTACCCCTGAAGGACTCAGGCCGGCTGGTGCCATCCAGGTGCTGTGCAATCTGAATGGGGCAACAGCACATCAAATTCCACTCATCTGTCAGCATAGTGGATTATTTCTTGAGAGGCTGAAATTGGCTGCTTGGGATCAGAGCACCATCCATCTTACAGGGTAGGGCACGGTAAAGCTGCCTGGAAGAGGCTGATGAGAGGGGCCAGCCGTTCCTAAGCAGGTGAGGAGGCAGTTGGAAGGCCTTCAGTCGCCCTCCATGCAGGGCTCTGAGTGAAAGATCTGTCATTTTTCACATTCCCCGGGTACTTGGTATGCACAGGGTGTCTGCCTTCTCCTGCTTTATGAAAGAGGTGATTTTTCAAGCTTAGGCAAATGTGGCAAAGCTCAGGGTCTGCTGGTGTCTCATTTGTTCTCATCATGTCACTTGTTTTAACTGATTTGAGAAAATGAGATATTTTTCCTTTTTGCACATTTATTCAGCTATTTATTTATTTATTTGCTCATTTAGGGGTGGGTTGTCACAGATAACTGGCCCTGATTTCCCTCTTGTTTTCATACACATTTCATTAGCGTCCCTAAAGATTTAAGAGCCACAAAAAGAAACATCCCAACTCTCATCACAAAAAGCATATATTTACTCTTAAAATCAAAACAGAAGACTGTACTAAAGAAGACTGTATTTCTGACTGAAATTATCTAGAATATTGCTATTTCCAAGATTTATTGCTTTAATCTTTACAGCTATTCTTGAAAACCCAAGAAAGTTGAATAACCATATTACATACATTGGACTTTCAGTTTAATATCATTTTAATCTTTCTGTATCTAGAAATGAGTATTTATAGTTTATTTCATCAATGAAACTGAAATGAGTCTCAAATACAGAAGCACTTGGGGTTGAAATTGGTTTCCATACTGCAGTTTCTTGGTGTGTGTGACATACCAATTGACTATGCACTGGTGATAATAAGCAATTTCTAAGGATAGACAATGGAAAAAGCAAATACTGTGTTTAATTTCATTCAGAACCTAATGATGTGTTTCTCAGTTTAAAATTATAATATTTTGATAATAAGCACCATAAAGGCATGAGTTTACTTATTGCAAGTAGCACAGCCATAACCCCTCACCAACAAGAGCTCATATATTATCTGATTGAGACAATCTGTGAAAACTCATTGCAAAGTGTACTGATTTTCATGACTATCTGCATAGAGAATAAAATAAAACACACAGCATTTGGAGGTATATTCTATCCAGGTACTACATAGTTAAAAAGCAACAGCAAGAGTATGAACTAGGTTTTTGTCCTGACTATGTGGATGGACTGTTAGCTGTGAGAACAGCAAAATTTCACTCATTCAACATCTCTAACATGCACATTGTTAGTCTATTAAAGTGGGGATGGTGTCAGTAATTCTTTATATTTATAAAGAGCTTTACAGTTTATAAAGCACTTTCAATATTACGTATGCCATTTATACCCCTACGACATCCCTAAAGGGGAAGCCGAGCTCAGAGAAGTGACTTGCCCAAGGTCATGTCATTATCTTAAGTGACAGATGATGGCTAGTCTTGAGCTCTGCCGTCAGTCACCACGTGCCACCTCTCACCAGTTCTGCTTATGGCTACCTCCTTTCAGACTGGGTTTGCAGTTCAAATGATTCCATGTATTGACATAACTTGAAAGTTTTCACAAATTATACCAAAGAGCTGGCACTTCCTCAAAGAGGCTACTTGGCATAACTATTCTGTGCACTGGGAGACATCACTGTATACGTATCCTCGAAGGGAAACAGGCTCTGAGGTGAACTCAGGCCAACCGGACTCCAATGGCAGTTATTGGCTGTGTGGTTTCAGATGAGCCACACTGTCCTTCAGAACTTCAGTCTCCTGGCGGGCACCGTGATGGGGGNGGGGGGCGAAGACTACACCCACTTGTATAAGGATCAAGCCAGACAATGGGAATTAACCTTCAGAGCGTGACTAAAACACTCACAACAGTTGTTTTGTTATGTATTCTTATTTTTAAGTATTACAATGAGTGCAGATTTCCCATGTTACTTGTGTGGCTATGTAACAAGTCCAAGATATTTTTGCCAGAACAGATTGGTGACTAACTGACTGGAGGTAACGTGGGGGTTCCAAAACCCACGTTTGTTTTCCCTCCACCTGGGCACTGAAGCCTTGGAGTCTGGCGGTGTCCACCCCAGGCTCAGGACACACGCGGCAGAAATATAAGCGCACAGCAGCAGCAGAGCACTTTCCATGCCCACCTGCAGGGGCACCAGCGTCCCCTCGCCTTGCTTCCTCCAGCCAGGGCGTGGGCAATAGGGGTGGCTGTGGCCCTGAGGCCGCCCCCGGCCCCAGCTGGGAGCTGAGGATGCATCCCAACCCTCCACCCGGGGCCACCTGTGCTCAGGCGAAATAACAAGCTGGCGAGCAACTCGGCAGCCTGGTGCGGACGCGCGGGAGTCCCCCGGACTGCACCCGCGCTCTTTCGGTCCTGCCCTCAGCTTGAAGCGGAGCCCCGGGAGGCGTTGCTGGAGGACTGTGCAGACAAGCCGGGGACAAGCAAAGGCATGGAAGCTGGCCCGCACGGCGGGAGCACGCTGGGCAGGCGGGAGGAGGCCGGGAAGGGATTTGGAGAGGGGGTGGAGGGCTGGGAGCACCTGGAAACTGAAGATCAGGAGCTTGGGTGCGCAACTGGTCCCCAGGGCCCAGATGTGGTGGTGACCGGGGGTGGCGGGGCGCGGCCGATAGGGACAGCAGAGCGAAGGTGGAGGGTGAAGTAAATGGATGCAAGGCTGAAGCTAAACAGAAAATGGAAGGAAATCTTTCCGAGAACCAGGGCGAGTGAGGACAATCGAGCTGGGGGACAGTAATAAGAAAAAGCTGGGGAGGCAAAGAAGAAGAGAAAAATCCAGATTGAAGAGTGAGGCCATGAAAGGATAAGAAATATACTTTGAACAGAAAGACCAAGAAAGCAAAGTGCGTCTGGAACTCAAAATTCAATATAGGAAAAAAAGAAAAAGAAAAAAAAAAAACAGGCTAAAAGAACTTGTCCCTGAAACTGGCAAGAGAGAGAGAAAAAAAAAACCCCGGAGAATACTGGAGGAACAGAAAGTGAAGAAAGGCAGAAAGGAAAGAAGACAAGTTAAACCAGACAAGAAATAGTAAGTTACTTTTTAATTTCTTTGTCATTGACAAACTACTTCCAAAGTCAGTTTTGGCACTAACATTCCTACAAAATTCTTAGCCACATACCCACTGAGATTATAGTATCAGTACTAGATTAAAATGCATCCCCAAAATATACACACATTATTTAATCAGTTGCAAAAATCCTCAAGTCTTGAAAATTGTCCCACTTTTTACAGAATATTTCGCCTTGGGCCAAAGTAGCCCAAAACAAATGATTTCTACTTTTTAAATCTGGAAGGGGGTGGGGGGACTCTTAGAGAAAACGCTCTTTGATGAGAAGTTAATAGAAAATCACCAAATCATTTTAGTAACCCCCAGTCCCCAAAGCATCCCACCAACAATAAGTCTTGGAATTCAGAACTGCCCACACTAAAGCACTGTTTGTCACTTGCCTTCAACCATCTGTTAAGGAGACAGTGGTGAGACTGGCAGCTGCAGTGGAGCCAGCGCCTGGCTTACCTGGTCTGTGCAGGTGGTGTTGCTGAAAAGTGTGTTGAAGAGACCCATGGCAGAGCAGCATTGCACAAGCACTTATCCACAAATACAGAACCCAGGACATCGCAGAGACCATAGCCATTCTCTAAAAAGAACATTGGACAGGAAGTATTAGCTCCAGCTTCAAGCCCCCAGCTATCAGTTCTACTGATGAGAGAAGGGGGGCCGAGGGGGGTCTCAGACGTCATGTCCCTTTGCTACTAGAATAAAATGACCCAGCAGAGGTCATGCCATAGAGTGGGATTGAAGGAAAGCACTCTCCAGGAGATCATGAATTCATTTTTGAAATTCTGCAAAACCCAACTCCAAGGATTGCCAAAATAGAAAAATAAATTAAAGTTGGACTATCAGTTAGGCACTTTGAAACACAGTATCCTAACTCAACATCCCGTTTTACACAGTGATCTTCAAATTATAGCTATTCCAGGCATTGAAAAGCTGCATACTCCTGTTCATTTTAACTTCATTGCAAGTCTGACATAAGCCTGATAGAGTGGATTTTTTTCTTTTTATAATTCTACAGTCATGAATTTTTAATCACTGTGCTGTCTTCTAAACTAAGTAATCATTTCTCAGAGGCATGTTGTAATCTTCTAATAGAACCAGTCTTATTGGCTGGACTTTAAAATCAGAAGGAATTGTCTTCAGCCAGAGTGAGTTTCAGATGCAAGATCTATGCTTCTATAATAGAGCAAGCCATAATTTACAATATTGCTTTGCCTCCTAAGATCCCATTGTGGCATTTGTCTTATAGTGTTGGTGAATATTACATGTACAGGTGGTCTATGTATTTATGGATAAGTATACACCTTTTCACAGGCGCTGAAACTTTGGCAGACTTATCTGCACCTGTAAGGATCTTAGGCGCCACAGAGGCTCAGCTGCGCTACATATTGTCCAGTTCCTCAAACGACACCTATGCTGCATTTCATATTGCCAAATTAATCAAACTTGAGACATCACCCTTACTCAGCCCGTGATAAGGAGCATTTTCTATACAAGAACCCAGTTAAGTATATGCTTCTCTTTTGAATAGAGAGAGCTTTGGAGCCAATATTATTTCTTTTTAAATTTTTTCACTGTCAAATCATACACTTTAAGAATTTCAACTACACATTTAATACCTACTAGTGACCTCCCAGTGTGACTTCTTTAGTCATGGAAATTGGTACTCTCAAAAACTGTGATGTTCAGAAAGCAAAAATATACATTGTGTGTGTGTGTGTGTGTGTGTGTGTGTGTGTGTGTGCGCGCGCGCGCGCGTGCATGCACAGACAATACGAATGAGATAATTTATGGGTTTTAGGAGAGAGATGTAGTCTTTAAGAAAGGTTTTAGGGCTGTAATAGACAAATGGTGACAACCATAATTAAGTGCAAAGTAGGAAAACATTATTTTCAACAGCATGGTGCCTTTCATGCCCCAGTCTGTGGTTCAGATGGACCATTCACTTTATTATTAGTTTCACTGCCCACTGTTCACTTTTTATACAACAGATCTAGCCTCATTGTCTTCAGAACTATTAGGAAAGCATAGATACATTCTGTTCAGTAGCGATAAGTAGCAATGCCCCTCCTATGATTCCTGAAATGAATGCACTTCGGGGCCTTTTCAAAATACCCTGAAAATTATAGAAAGACAAAAACTGGGGTGACTGTGGCATGCATTGACTGCTTGTGAATTTCAGTTAAAATGCACTAGAAATTTATCTAAGCTTGAAAAAAAAGGCTACCACAGTCCAAACTTAACAGTTTTTCAATGTCTGCTTTCTCTTGCTCATTTCTTTACCCACATTGATCTTAACACTCAAAAAGATTACTGTGACTTGACCTTTGCATTATTTTCCTTCCTTTTCTGTTTTTCATTTACTTTCTTTAATTCTCAGTACTACTTCCAAGGTTCGTGCATATCGTTCTCTTTGCTCACTCTCTTACCAAGAGGTTGTCTCTATGTTAATGGGTGTTTTCCCCCCTAATCATACATCCAGTCTTACACAGTTCTCTAGAGATGACTGAATAGGTTACAAATCGGCTTTCTGAATCTTAAGTCCTTAAAAGAGGCTTCTTACCTGAAAAATCCAGCCAAGAGCAGAGTACTCTATTAGTGTTCATTGGAAAGCTCTAACACTTTCTAAAATCCATCTGTGCCACAATTTGAGATTTTTTTAAAAAAGAGCTTCCCAATAATCTTCTTTATCAGGATTTTAAAAAATGTTTTTCTCTTCCAACGCTATTTCCACAATAAAGGAGACATCGGGTTCATTCAGACTGTATTGTCAGAAAAGAAGCCAAGGTTTGAGGGGTGGAAACCTTGTCATTTTCACCTTTAAATCATCTCCTGGCGTTCACCTCTGCCTGACGAGACCTTTGAAGTGATGATGAGATAATATGCAGTTTCCTGATGAAGATCAGTTTATAGTTAATGACGGACCATCCCCACTTCAGTGCATTCGGGGCAGAGTAAGGCAGCAAAATGCAGGAGCTGGGCTGCTATACGGTGCTGTAAGTAGCAGTAGTCTGTTTCAATACATCCCTCCTCTGTAAAGTATCACATGTCTTAAAGTGACATTACCCTCTATTATAGCTACAGTGAATTGTAATACCTTCCCACTAACTCTTCAACAACTCAGGCAGCACTGGGACACTATATTGCCTGGTATGTTATGTTAGAGGTTTTACCGGTAATACTCATTTGCCAAAAGAGTAAAGAGGGAAGGAGAAACAAAAGAAAAAGGAGCATTCTATAAAATATTGATAGTGTTAATGGGTGTTAGACTTCTAGTAGTAAATGGGAAAGTGAAATATAAGCCATTTCTTACCTCTTAATGTTCTTATAACCAGTAAGCTAACCAAAAATATTGTTAGGTTTATATAAATTTAAGTCTTGATTGTTTGGGCAACTAAATCTGGATATATGGTATATCTGAAATACAATATAATCTTCATATGCATAAGCCCAATAAAAACCTTCTGAGTTTTTTTAACATGTTTAATAAATAGAAATATGTCATTTTAACAAAAAAAATATGCTCAAGGCATTTTTTTTTAATTTCTCTCTCCCTCAAATAGCATGCTGGGATGAAAAGAGGAAACACTCAGAAGCTCAATATTTTATTTCTAGTCCTATGGTTTGAACACTTTCTTCTTCAGAAATACAGTGTGATTGTACCTAAACATCAATGATGCACGTATGGTGACCCAGTTTTCAATTATAGATTGCACTAGCATGATTCTTAGAAATACTCATTCAGTCATTTCACAAATCACTTATAAAACACCTACTATGTGTTAGATGCACGGGGACAAGGCAGAGAACAAGATCAATGAGATTTCCAATGTCATAAATCATACTGTCTATTCATATTGTTTCAAAAATCAAATAGTTCTTATAATTTTCCTTCCTTGGAAACCTTTTGAAATGCTCAGAATACTCTCTTGCCTTTCACAGGCATTATAAAGAAGGTCCAATGCTGCAATGCGCCTTGGGAAGCCATTCTCTTCCTTCATGTTATACAGAATGAGAGAGTGAGGTGCCCTTCAGACTCACCAATCTTTCCCAATGGTCTTTCACATTGCACAATGCACACATAATAGCTCTTTGTAATATAACAACTTTATTAAACCTTACCAATAAACTAATTTCAAGGTAACAATAAATACTAGTCTTACAGTTAAACGTAAATCAGAAACACCAAAGTTGTAATTGGAATTGCATTTTTTTTCCTGTGGTTCATTATTGCTGTATTGATGAATATATACAGAGTATTTACACGGACCATGCAATATCAACACAAAAATAATAACAGCAGTAGCAGCAGCTAATCTTTATTAAACCTCCACCATGTGGTAGCACTACTCTATATAGTTTGTTGCTTGTAAGGTGTAATCAATCCTTTTTGACTAACCCCATTATTAATCCAATTTACTAACCCCAAATAAGTATTTTTATTATCTCCATTTCATAAAGGGGATCAAGGAAATTAAAAAATGTGTTCAAGGTGATATATCTAATGATAGTGCAGGTTTTACACCCCAATGATCTGGCTCAAGAGCCCATCTCTTAAGTACAGGGATAAAACTATTCATGGGAAAAAAATTAACCATTTCATTTTCTTATTTTTTTTAACATTAAAACAGTCTCAAAAATTATTATTCACTCACTTAAGAGGCATATATTAAGTACATTCCAGGTATTTGAAAAACAGTACTGTGAAACATAGTTTTTGTCCCATGATTGTTTTTGTTTTGTTTTTGCTATGTTAATGCATTATAATTAAAAGGAAATTCACATTTGCTAATAAAGGTTACCATTTCGAAAAACTGTAACCATCATGTTGTTCATTTCCAGGGATTCAATTAAGGCTCAACTTAGTTACTTATCTAAAATTCAACTCAATTTAATAAGTTTGAAACATGTACTATGGATTATGTTCAAGGTACTCAGATAGGAATTGCTGAAAATTTAAAAAACAAAAAAAAAAGGAAAATTGAAGAACGGCTTGCCCTTTCAGGTTTAAGTAACTTTCTGTATATGTATGTAATGGAACAAGAATATCAACAGTATTCCACTTTTTTTCTGTCAAATATCTTGTAGTCCATTGTGTTACTGCCAATGATCATTTGTCTTAATAATATAAGCACCAACAGTTATTGACATTAAGGTAATTCAGTCAATTCTCTCCACTGAATGTGCAGCTACTCTCACAGCTTTCAAAGAAGTTTGGGCATTCTACCTTCTGGCAACTGTAGGATTGTACCTCCTGATCACTTTGTGGTTGGGTGAGCCAGAAAGTTCTGGCCATTGAGGTGTCAGCAGAACTGATGGCATTGCTTTGAGGCTGGAGCACTTAACTGTCGAAGTGACACCTCCAGATCTCTTCTTGCCTCTGAAACAGGGACTAGCTGCACTGTCAGCCTGGATCCTCAAATTACGGCAAAGAGTCACTTCCCCCACTTCCCCTACCAACCTATAATAAATATACATAATGAATAAGAAATAGTTTGTTCTTTAAGCAGTTGAGACTTGGGGATTATTTGTTATTGCAGCATAACCTAGTCTACTCTGACTGATGAAGATTTTAGCCAGCACTATTCATATGTTAAACAAATTTTTATGTTTCATCCAATATCCTTAGCCCTGAAGAGACTGCAGTATATACGTCAGACCAAATACCTTCACAGAACCCTCTGCAATAGAAACCCATTGGATATTTTTTATCAGAGCAGTGATAAATTTAAAGCATTGATTATTACAGCTGGAATTCCTCAGGGTTCTGATAAGCCAAGAGTTATAAAGTGACCACCTATGTGGCCCATGATCATGCTTTGCTCAGCCATTTTGTTATGCAAACACAGTATTTCAAAAGGTAAAGGACCAAGCACCATCACTTTAGCCCATCCAGTTTTTTGAATTTGTGATACCCTAAGGAGTTGGGTTGGGTGTTCAAGTCACAATCCAGGCCAAATCCCTAAAGATAAACATTTCAAGTACAGTATCTATGTATATGCACCTTTGTGTAGGCAAAAAAGAAAGACAATCCTATTTATCAGAACTCCCTATGGAGAAACCCACATTTATTCATAAGAAAGACCCAGTGAAAACAATAGGGGATGAAAGCCAGAACACTCATCGTTCTTAAATAATGTAGAGTATTCAGCCAATCGCCCTGAGTAATAAAAGGCAAGGGGAGGGAGGAATGGAGGCTAGAGTGTGTAATAGGGTGGAAACCTGGAGGGAAGAAAGAAATGGCGAGGGAGTAGGCAGAGAGGCAGAGATAGAGAGAAACACATTAGAGGCTCAGAAAGATAAGGACCAAGGACAGAAATTTCCAGTGAGGATTTCTTGGTGGAAAATTATATCCTGTGGTCTATGATAGCTCCCTGTGTCTCTCTAAATAATTATGAAAGCCTTAAAAACAAACAAACAAAAAAATCTCACATCTACTTTACATTATTAAGTTACTTGGGAACTCCACTGAGGGTGTGAATCCTGCATCCAGGCCCAAACCCCTCATTCCTCTGATTACCACACTTCATTTCTTGGCATTAGAAATGAAAGCCATCTTTAGTTCAGTTTAAGAACAATCCATGTAATAATTTGGCTAATTTTAATTGACAAATGTATAGAAAAACATTGAGATGTGCAAGATTTTATGTCTATGCATATTTCTAAGTTGAAAAACAACTAAAGAATTTAAATAAACTACATCTGGACTGAGAAACATGCCAACTTTCAGTCCAATGCAAATTAAAGTGGCTTAGATGTACACCATTTAAATTAGTTCTAAGTATTTCTTGAAATAACACATTTTGGTTGTGATTTCACAACACTGGTGTTTTTTTTTCTTGTTCCATTTCAATTGACTAATGTAAATAGAGGCATGGATAAAAGGACCATTGTCATGGCACCTTATCTTTAATCTATATGCTTTCTGTAGCATTGAAGCCCAGTTTTTCTTTTTCTGTAGTAACTGGGTCTATCCATCATTTGATTGGCAATGTCTATTTTAAATCCCTGATCATGGGAAGACAATGGATCTTTGCCATTGGCTAAGTGATAATGTTACCCTATCTTTCCCTCATAGATCACTTGCATATCATTCATATCACTGTTTTTCTAGAACTCACCTGAAATTTTCCCATCTATCATGGTGTCCTACCATGTGTACCATACCAAACACACAGCAACATTCTTGGATTGTCAGTCTTACTTTGGGACTGAAATAAAGTCTTTACTTGCCTTATTTGCTTCTCTATTCTGTAACCTACATTGCATCAACATGTACTCATATTTAAGCTAAAAAGAAGAAAAGGATGATGAAGAGAAAGCAGATGAATATAACTCCCAGAGAATGGGAGTTACAATAATAATATATAATATTGATGATAATTGATGATCTAATGATGATTATGTATCAATACCTACTTTCAGGGGACTCTTTCTATGTGTCAAGCCCTGGCTGAGCTACTACACAGAGTGTCTCATTTAATATTCACTGAAATGCTAATGGGGCTGTATTACAGTGATCTCTATTTTATGAATGAAAACCCAAATTTCAGAGGAGTTAAGAGATTGAACTAATGTGACACCTCTAGTAAGGTTGAAGAACTGTAATTCAGACTCATCTTTGATTCCTAGAGCCTAAGCTCTAAGCAACCAAATTCTAGGCAAACAATCAAGAAACATTAAATTGTATGTGATGAAGATAAAAGACCAAGTAAGCAAAGTCAGGCATGCCTGATGTGAAGCTTGAAAATGAAATGCAAACCATCAAGAGATACAGAGGAAGCATTATTTTGACCTTAAGCTTCCTAGCAGTATAAGTGAAGAAGGAAACAATCATTTCTTTAAAATACACAGATTCCACAAGATAAAAAAACATAACAAAAGGAAACTAAAAAAAACTAAACTGCTGCTTAACAAAGAATAAAAGTCATTAATAGTAACAGAAAATGACCAGAAGCTAAATCCTCTTCTATAAAGCTGGTGATACGCAGTGCTATAATTTGGATCTGGATATATAAGGCAGAATTTTCAATAACTGTAAGAA